TCTTCTTTGTAACTGTGATACAGTCTTATACCAACAGTCGTACGTACACTTTTAATTTTATCTTCTGTTCATCCTATTAAATATTAAAATGCCAAAATATAACACAGAAGAAAAAATAGCAGCAACCGTGACAAAACAAAAAAACTCATCATCATTTTTGGAAATTCTAAATGTTTATACGTCATATTTAATTGCCTTAGCATGTAATATGTAATAAAAAACCTATATTTTAGTTTAATTTTAATGAATTATATTATTTAAAACAATAATTTGAAAAATATTCTTTGATATTTATTTGAATTGAATAATCCGGAATTTTTCCTTTTTATTGGATAAAGTGGAAAATCGCTTAAAACAGGATTTTTTGTTGGTCCCATGCGATTCTACTTTAGACAGTTTTCACTGTATATTATAATTTCATTTTCCCAAACATTTTCAAATTTATAAAAAATATTAAAGAAAAAAAAATGATAATTTAGGACTGCATAGTTTAAACTCAAAATTTCTTAAGCCGAAATTAAGATTTTAGTACTTATTTAGTAACTTATTTAAGTTAAGAGTGTGCACCTATATATATACTGCTTTTTTCTTAGTTACACTGATTTCCATATAAAGTTTTTTTCGTGAATAGTCGCTTTCAGGTGTATACACATATCTTGTATCATAATAGTGTTTGAAAAGAACGTCAGTCGTGAACGCATGTTCATGTTTATATTTTGTGATCGATACATGAAGGTCATTCGCTTTTTTCAAATAGAACGTGAACGTGAATGAAGTTTATATTTTTAATGAATTTGATTGATTTTTGGGACCTTTAAATTTATTTATCATTTTAGAAATATGTGTATAAATAATAAATATTGATTATTATATGTTTAAGTATAGGTTTTAAATATAAAGTAAAATAAATTTAGAACATTTTGTATAGGCCTTATTTATACAGAATGCAGGTTAGTGATTACTAAACATAAAATAAAAAAATTTAAATGAATAGCCAAAATAATTCTTTCATTTTTTCTTCGATCTTGAACATTAAAAATGTTCACTTAAAAAAAAGAACATGAACGTGAACGAGTTCAATTTTTAAGTAAACGTTTCGAACATTGAATATGATTGATAGGTATACATATAAAAAAATAAAAAATAATACAAATAATATAATAAGAAATCAATATACTCGGATCCGACATTCGATATCTTAATGAATTAATAGAAGTATACTTAAAGTTATATAAACAAATTTACTGTTTTTGTAGTTATTTTCATGATTGAAATTATAAGTAAAATAAATATATAGTTTAATGAAATAAATATTAAAATTATTAACATTATATTCATAAAGTACGGGAAAAATATGCTTTTTGTTAATGTCACTTAATTATTAATTAATTTAGGATTGCATTATATATTTTATTTATATGCGTTTCAGATAATGTAAAAAATATATCCATAAAAAAAAATAAACGTACCGCATACATTTATACGTTCAAAAACAGTATTGGTAATTTATTAGCCAATATAAATATTTTTAAACCTGTAAATGTACACATGACAGTATAGGTACATCTCAATCAATATCTGTGGAGCTATACAAATTATTAATAGGCTACAATCTCGCAGAAGATTCGCCTTCACTAGTATCCCCCTTTCACAGTGTACTTATGTATTTTAACAACACTTCGGCGGTACATTTAAAAATCGATAGAGTTCTGGTACTCCCCAGCGGCACCAATAGACGATAGACAGCAGTGGCGTAGCCAAGGGGGGGCCAAGGGGGCTATAGCCCCCCCCCCATGGGCCGTGTTTATATGTATAATGTATTTTGACTATTTAATAGAATCAATGGATGCTCGTTTTAATCAAAGGCTTATTGATGTTATGCCACTTGAAGGACTTATTCCGGCCAATTTAAATATGTATGACGATAAAAATATTATAAAAGCTGCTAAAATATATGTCCAAGATCTCCATGATGATACTTCATCTACAATCAGAGCTGACCTGTTCATATGGAGGCAACAATAGAGTCAAAATACTATTCCAAAACCGAATTCTGCTCTTGATTCACTCTCTCATCGCACCAATCTTCGACCTAACATTAAAATACTTTTACAATTATTTGCCACGTTACCAGTTAACTCTTTCACTCCGGAAAGAACGTTTTTAGCACTTAATCGCTTAAACATTTTTTTAAGAAGCACTAAATCGGAAAACAGACTGAATGGGTTAGCTATGGCTTATATAAATAAAAAAAGAGCAATTCGATGAAAGTGAAATAATAACTGAATTTGCCAGAAATTCGCCTAAGAGGATGCAGCTGTCAGAGTGGAGCAAGGGACTGAACACTAAAACCAAAATTATTATTATTATTATAAATTATATATTAATAAATATTTTTAAAACTATACTAAAATGCTTGAATTAAGTTTAGAAACTTGGTGGTAGATGGTGGGGGGGTTAAGGGTGAATTCTCATATCCTCTCTTACCTTACTTATCCAAAAAAGTGGTTAGCCCCCCCCCCCCATTTAAAAATCCTGGCTACGCCACTGATAGACAGTACAAATATATTTATTATAAGTTAAATTTAATTATAATGTTACTTCTGCGCGTATTCGTACAGTTGTTTTACGTTAAATTTTAATACGATTTCGGAACGTGCGGCTAAAAATACAACAACAAAAAAAAATTAAATAAAAAAGCTGTGCATAAAATCTCCAAGGTTCTCCGTTTGATTTGCTTGGAACGTACTTGGACCAATTAGAAAGTTCAGTCGCCAAATCAGTAATTACCGAACGATGAAATCTATCGAATTTGTTTATGAGTTTTAAAAATTACGGTGCACATTGCAATGAAAATATTACGTCGTGTGTTTACAACAGTGAATTGAATATTTGAATACTGAACCGAAAAACACGTCGAGCGAGTACGGAACATGGCGGGTGATGTTGCGCCGAGGAGAAATCAACCCCTTCAGCGTGTTCAGCTCGTATTTCCAGCGGATGGGCACCGAATCACGAACCGACATCATCGTGATATGATCACGAGGAAAACATTTGGGGGTAGAAATATATTAAATATAATATAATAGTATATATTAGAAATATATTAAAAATTGTGAAGGTGCAATCCCACGGAGAGTGGCTCGCCGAGTCACGAATCATAAATATGCTAGCTTGGTACATTATACTCGCCATGGGAACGTTATTGGTCGCTTATGCGCGGTACAGCTAGACGAGGTTCGCAGCTATCCGAAAATGTTCGGTCCGTTGCGTTCGCGCCAAACGAATCGGACCGCCAGCGTTCCCACAGGCGCGCGATTCGGAGAGCCTGCACTGCACAGTGGATTTTCATTTTATTATGTGTTGTGTGCATTTTGATAACACATTCGACATTGATATACACTTTTTTGGGTTTTTAAATTTTAAACATTTGATTATAACTGAACTAAATTTCAAATAAAAACATGGAATGGTCTAACGACGAAGTTCTAGAGTTTTTGGAATTATACGAATCCGAAATTAACTTCATCTTGATCATAAAAATACAAATGTAGTTCACCATGTTTTTTTGTTTTTCAAATGCTCAACGAACATTACAAAATACGCAGCTGCACAAGCAGCAATTTGCGTCTGATCTAGAGCGCTAGTCATTTTGAACTGAAAAATTCGGTGGCTTATTTTTGGAGGATCTCCGGTCGGCCCGGGTAAGGTCGCCAAATCACACGCCGTAGCAATGGTGTAGATATTGCAGGCTCGTGATATGCCGAGCATAATAGCAGTATAGCTCAGTATAACAAGCGCGCCGATCCTAAGCACGTCCGCAGGATAAAATCCCACCCGGGGCAAGATTGAAATTCTAAGGGCCAAAACAACGTGTATCTAAAAATAGATGAGAACCAAATCAAATACCGTATAAATCGGTACTATGGGAGAATTTATAGTTTTAAGCGATATGCAGTCACGTGTAAACATTGTAAACTAATAAATACGTTCAAGATTATGCATTTTAGATTATCTAAAAATATAATACATTTTACTAAACTTCATAAATGGATCTCGATAAAATTATGTTATAATTGATATGCGTGGTATTAAATTAACAATGGTTTTTGAAATGAAAATTCCCAGTAGGGGCAATGGCCCCTTTGGATTCCCCACTGCGGACGCGCAGGTGTGGCGCGTCTTCACCCGATGATCGTCGGTATCCGCTCCAAAGGGAGACGTGAAGCGGCTCGCAATGAACGCTCCGGGAAACGCGCCGCCATGGGATTGTGTGACGTACGCGCGCCGTGTGATCGCGCCCAATTATTTTGTTGAAGTCGTGGGTCGTCGGCTAGCGTCGACGACGACGCCGGGGTGCCGCGTCCGCGACCGATAACGCGGAGGAAGAATCGAATGGAGCGCGACTGTGACGGCGACGTAATAATACCATTACCATTGTGCGTGCGTTCTCGTTATCAGTACGTTATCAACGGATGGGACGTTGTCGAGGAATTCACTAATGTCGGCGGCATGACCTCATGAGAAGCACGTTGTTTTGTTACTTTTTTTCTCGTTTTTTCATTTTTTTTCGTGTTTCTTTTTTTTTTTTGCTGGTGTTTTTTTCTCTCTCATCTCTGTCTCTCGCGTCAGTCCGCGGTCGCTCGCCTTGTCGCACTCGTCCGAACGCCGTCGTGTCGTCACCCTGTCGCGCGCGAATTCGATTCTCCTTCGGATATAACAATAATAATAATAGTAATAACAATAGAAATAATATTAACCGTTTGGCTCGCGTTCACGGCGAACGAGTACGGTGTACAACGCCAGCAGCAATCGTCAGTTATCGTTGACTAAACGTTTTGGCCGTGGCCACATCACGGCTTTGTGTCCGTCGCCCGAACGCAATACTTGCTGGCGTTCGTCCATTATTACCAATCCGTTTTCGTATCGCTTTCGTCCCCTTCATATGATGCGACAATGATTCACTGTTGGTTACCCGTCACCTGACACGTGCTGCAGCGATGGACAAGAACGTTGTGGACGAGGACGACATCAGCTCGTTGATCGGACATTTCGCCAAGGAAACATTTAAGTGCACCAACAGTGATTCGTTCGTAAGTCCACGAACTTTCCTTCACGCCTTCCCAACTTAGCTTTTCACGTTTCTGTTGCAAATGCACAACCCCTCTCCTGAAGCATAGTTATGTTTCTATTATTCGCCTTCATTTTTTTATTTTCTCACATCGGACCATTATCTATCTCTTTAGGATTTTCATCCCACATTGACCACATTGAGTGATTGCTTCGTTTGATCAATATTTAATTCATTACAGTGTTTTATTACTAATATATTGAATATTTCTGCTAATGGCCTTTGGTATGACCTTTATTTTGACCCAATTATAAACACTAGCCAATGTTGATATGTTTTTTTTTTTTTCATTACCTTTATATGTAATAATAATTAGATTATAGTACCCTATGTTATGATACATGTTAGTACAAAGACCACTTATTTTTATTCTAAAATAACCTTATTTGTTTATTTATATATTTTTAGTCAATTTTATTTTCTAAATTGAATAAAATTAGTTACATTCTGTTTTCAAAGATTCAAACAATGTATATTTGAACATTCAATCAATAAAAATATTCCAATTGAAAGCCAAACGTTTTAAATAAATTATTCTTGAATTGTATTTTAATGAGGATTCCTTCTTTCTTTTATTTTCGCATTTCGTTTTATTATTTTGAAGTACTCAATCTCTTAATTTATATTATTCATTAGTTTTTATAAAACAGTTTATCATTTTTCAGGGGTTAGATGTGATGGAAAGATGTTTAAATCTCTTGCGGTTGGATTATAAATTTATGGTAAGATTTTTACTCTGATTTATGTGTATTAATATATTTTATAATTTTGTTACCCATTCATTTAATTATTATCCATTTAAATAATTAATCATAAATTAATTATGGAATTAAGTGTATAATATATGTTACATATTTAATTTTACATTATGATTAATATTTCTAGTAATAATTAATTAGAAATGCAAAATCAACAATAATAATTATTTTTGCTTGGTATGATTACTATTTATAATCTTTAGTTCATTATATTTATTATTTATAAGGTCAAAAGATAATTAGAAGATAAAAATAATAAACCAATAATACGTATTACTTTACAATTATACTTTATAGGTACAAACTTTATTTAATTCTACCTTATTTATAGTTAATACTGTTGGAGGTATAGAATTATTAAATAATAAATAATTGATAAAATAATATTTTTTAATCAAAAGTATTACAATCAATTTTGAAATATAAGTAAAAATCATAGGCAGTCCTAGAGTTTTACATTCGAGTCTACTTAATTTAATAATTATTAGTATATAACAATATTTAGTTGTATAGCTATACTTTTAATGTAATAAATTATGTATATTAATATACATAATTAATGTATTAATTTGATGACTTTATTTTTTAGATCATTGATAATAGCAAGGGACGAATTAATGAGCAATATCCACATAAGATACCAATTTTACAACATGAAAGATATCCAAGAGGTCAAAGAACTTCTTCCAGTTCAGTGGATGATATTTCACCAAAAGGAGCTTGCAATCGAAAAAGGAACAGTTTAGGTGCTCCATCACCTAGTAGTCATTCATCCCCAGAACCATTCGTGCGATCTCAATCTCCAAGGCTTAATAGCCCTAAAAAAACTAGTGAAACTGTTGGTACAGATATTGTATCAATTGACACACTAATCAATGAAGCAAAATTTGCAAGGTGCCGTAACCGTTTTGTTGTACCTGTAATATTATACCAAGGAAAATATATATGCAGGTAAAATTACTATTTTATTATATTTATTTTATAATTTAATTACTTACATTTGTATTATGATTGTAATTTAATACAATTTATTAGATCTTCTACAATTGCAAGAATGACAGAAATAGGTTTGGGAACTGCGACTGAAAAAGGTCTGTCTTTTGAAGAATTCAGACAATTGGATAAAAAAAGAAAATGTGATGTTGAGTTACTTAATGCTTGGAAAGTAGGTACTATTATTGATCTGATGGTTGAAAATGAAAAGCAAAAATATTTATTTGCGTAAGTATTAATTTAATTAAATATTTATATTTTAACTGATATGATTCTAAGATTAATTATAAAACATGAATTTACTATTTTTTAAATGTTAATTTTTAGTGTAACATCATCAGAAAAAGTGGATGATACTCAAAAATATGCTGTATTCCGAATAATACCTACACCATATCCTGGATGTGAATTTTTTCTTGATTTTAAGAAAAACAATTATAATTCTGAAGGATTAATGTTTGATTGGTCTGATCCTTCTATTGATTCAACACTCAATGTGAAACCCAACCCTGCTGTTGATCAGTTGGATATCCAGTGGAGTAAATACAAGGTTAATTTTTCAATATCTATAGTTTAGAAGTCTAAGTATTATTTTTATTATTTTACTAAACTTCTATCCCAAAAATAAAATAGCAAATTATAGAAAAAACTTTTAATTGATTTCAGATTACATTTAACTCTAACAATTTAAATATTGAAACTTTAAAGTTGTTATTTTAAACAGTAAAATAGAAAAATACACTCATACAAATAAATAAAATATATTATTAACAATTATATAGTATATAGTTCTATTAATAAATAAAAATTTTATTTTGTACCAGTTTTTAATATACCTATATTGAAATATTAAGATTTATTATTATTACTGTTATTTATTATTAGTCAATTAATATTTAATTAAATATTTTTTACCACTTTAATTGTATTTTAGTTAACTTTCCATTCATTTATTAATGTTATTATTAGGGCCTGGATTTATTTGCATTTGCATGTTTTTTTCTAAACAGTTCAAAAAATTACTAGGTAAGCTAAGTTTGAATTATAGTCAATAGATCCAAAATACATAGTTTTTTTTTTTTTGCATAGGTATTTCTGTATTTTACGATTTTTCATTGCATTTATATGATGTTTTGCTTATATTAATTAAAATAATGTATTTTATAGTTATATTTATAGTCCCTGTAATGTAATGTAGTGGTTTTCTTATCTTATCTGGGACCTAATGGGACAAGTAGTAATTTGTTATTGAGTAGGTTTTCGTGAATCATACATTAGTCGTTTTCCGAGTGTGTGTAATTGTCATTTGATTTAATTTATTTATACTTAAAATACCAAAAATCAGTGTAACTATGTCTAATAGGCTAAAGAAATTTGTTGCTGAATATAAAAGTATTTTATTTATAGATGGTTTAGTTTTGTTAGTTTAGTTTTATGCATATTTTTGATTTCATAGGGCATATTCCTATAAAATGAGAGCATAAATGCATATTTTAAAGTGCACTAATATTGCATATTTCTAAGGTTATTAAAGTATATAAACCCAGGCCCTAGTTATTATGTTTAATCTAATTAACTGATTATTTTACTAATGTATGTAGTATTTATGTCTTATACATAAAAATTCAATTTTATGTTACAGGAATGGGACTTACGACAGCTAACTGAAAATTATCTTAGCTTAATGCTGAAGTATGTTTGGTGTTCATCAAAAGGAATACTTATACATTGTATAAGTGGTTGGGATCGTACACCAATGTTTATATCATTAATAAGAATGTCTTTATGGGCTGATGGTGTTATACATAAATCATTATCTCCTAGCCAGATTTTATATTTAACACTTGGGTATGATTGGTATTTATTTGGACACAATTTAGAAAATCGTCTTGAAAAAGGTGAAGACATTATGCACTTTTGTTTTCATTTCCTTAAGTACATATTCAGTGATGACTTTAAAACACCTTCTATGCCGTAAGTCATGATATAAATTATGATGGTTCTTTGATTAATGAATAATTATGATTTTCTAATATAGTTCTGCAGTCACAGCACCAAGTAGTCCTAAATTTTCTTCTTATTTAGGAGAATTTGACTTAACTGATCTGGATCAATTAGATATTCGCTCACGAAATAACAGTAATGACAGGTATGTAATTGGTCCCATAAATATTTTTTTTGGTAAATTTATATTAAATTTTCAGTAATGAAGATTCAACAAATGGAAAGTCTTATGATACTTTAGATGATTATCATTCACAGTTTGATTTTGAACAAACAACAGCAGGTAAATTAAAATCCATTAAGAAACCAGCAGAGAAGTTTTTCATCAAAGAGACTATATATGAGATGGAAGACATTGAAGACATTGATGATGATGATTATAGTATGTCTGATGAAGTTGAAACAAAACGGTACAAATGTTCATCTCCTCGTAGGAGACATCGTTCTCTTAGGTCTCCAGACTTGGATTTTGAATATGATGATTGCGATTTCATATCAATGGAAGATAAAACCATGCCCGTTGATATGCCTGCATCACATAAGCATATTCGAACATTTTCTAATTCAAGCGAGACTGATGAGTAAGTAAAAAGAAAATACTATAAAATCATGATAACTCAAAATAAATTATTATATAATATTAGTTGACTTTTATAGCTTAAATTATTCAAATGTTTTCATAATGAGTTATCTTGACTATATATATTTCTATTATTTCTATTTTAGTTTCTTGTATAAACCATCAAGTAATAAAAATCATTTTTTTGTATTTATCAGATGGTCAATGGTTACTCAAACAGGTAGCCTCAATGGAAATGATTTGTCTGAAAACCGATTTCGTCCTATTTCATCGTAAGTTTAGTCAATATTTAAAAATAGTATTAATCCAATTAATGTGATTTTTTTTTTTATAGGCGAGAAAATAGGTTATCTGCTGTTAGAGAACTGTTCCATAAATGTTACAGCACATACGGGTATAAAACTGATGGCCCTGAAGGTATTTTTAGTAAACTTTTGTTTTGATATCACTCCATATTAAATGTAAATTGTATTGAGTTTTATAACTCACTGTAAGAAACCATTATATAAGAAAAGGAAGTATAATATTTTATGTATTATACTACTGACATCAATTTTACTTTCTTTCCGGAAAATTAAGAAAATCTATTTTAATTGCATATTTATATTGATTATCTGTTAATATTTGATCAAATAATGTGAATTATTAAAAGGTATATAACCTACTATTTTACAGCAACTCATATACTGTGTTCAATTAATTTATAGCAATTTGAGTTTCCCTTTAGATGTTTAGTTTCTCTATCTATGTATACAGAACTCATTAAATGCCATTTTAAATACTCACACATGTATGAGTGTATTAATATTGCATATGCAGTTTTGTATTATTGTTTTTATAATTTTTAATGTATACTATTATAAAAGAAAGAAAAATAAGTGGAAATATTTCTTAATAGTTGTTTAATATATGAATAAACAATACAGGGAAAATGTGTCATAATTTTTTTTTTCAAACAAATTAAATTAGTTTTTGTTGTATACGTACATAATTTTTAATGTATTACACATTGTTGTTATATTATATATGTATTTTAAGCTGGTCCCACACGACTTGTATACTTGACGAGCATTGTAATCACTTATGTTCGCCAATTGATTGATTTGGTTGCTCTTATCAGTGCCACATTAAGCTATGTAGCTCTCCTGGTGCAAACTAAAATATGCCGCCCTTAAAAATATTACAATTCAAAATAAAAAATAATATATGTAATAGAAATAATATGTATTATAGTTATATAGGTATACAAAAAAAATTATAATTGTACATTTTGTATTTTATGTTGATTCTCAAAATTTTGCTACTCCATCAACATCATTAAATTTGTCACCTCGAAACAATTGCCCTCTGTTAAACGCGGATCTGGCTCCTCACTACTCATACGTTTACCGATCAATAAACGCGGTTTTCAATAATCTCTTTGACTCGTACATTTACCGACAACAATGGGAATCTATGAGTGACTCAACGAATAAAAATGATCGCCATACTTGACGATTAAACCACCTGCACGACTCGTAAAGTATCACGATTGACGATTTTTCATCGAGTATACGTTTCGTATGAGACCAGCTTTACATTCTACTTGTAAAAATGATTTATTTATTAGAATTAAATGTACTTAAACATTATTATATTTTAATTGAAATAAGTATATCTGAACCTTTGTTAGAAATAAATCAAATTGCTTCTCAATTGTTATAAGATTTAGTCAGTGGCATACTAGTTTTGTTCTTGGAAATAATGAAATTATCAAAATTGGTAACTTAATATTTTGCTCTGGATAGTTAATAAAGCAGTATTGACTGTTAATCTAAGCCCCTAAGTCTTGTCAGTAGGCTGTTTTCTAACTGTCAACAGTATGTCGAATAAGTTTAAACTAATAATTGTGCTATTCAATTACTTATAATACTACATAATTGTTTTTAAATTGTATTGTTATAACTTATTTTAACAAAATATTATATTGCCTTTTTCTTTTTTAGGTAGATAGATAACTTTTATAAAAATTAATTTATAGGAATTAATGATATTTTATTTAGACAAGTTAATACAGTTAAAAGATTAATTATTATTTATTTATACTATAAAAATTAACTGTTGATGTTTAAAAAAAACTATCATTCCTAAAATAAAATTTAATAATATTTGATTGTATTCAATTGTTAAAAACATTATCTGAGAGCATAAAAAAATGTTCCAAATCCAAGTTAATATTGTCCAAAATAATTGATGTAGGCTAATGGTAAGGTTTAGTTGATTTGAATATAATAAAATTTAAAGTTTTTAGTAAACTTAAATATAAGTTTTGTTAATTCACGGAACCAAATAATACATTGTTGTTATTAAAAGCATGATTTGGTTTCACTGAAATATTTTTTTGAACTATCAGTTAAACTAATGATTTGTACTTGATATTTATATTATATGTATATTTTTATTTATGTGTAAATTTTGGAATTGATCATAACTAATAAGTTTTTAAATTAAATTTATATATACATAATATTGTTTATCAGATAATGAAAATGATGAATTTGTTTTGTGGTTTATTATGGTTGTGTACGATGGCTTCACTGTTTGAATATATTGGTGAATTAAATCGCCTGTCACTTTTCCTGCCTAAATGTGATCTTAAAAAATGTTACTTTAACAGGTATATAGTTCTAAGAAAAAAACTGTGAGGCTGTTAAAATTTTTTTGTAATTTTTATAACTAATGTAATGTTAAGTTCCAAAATTTACATGACTGTTAATAATTGAATATAAAAAAATCCAATAAGAAAAATTGATTTTTGTAAATGAAATCTTTTGCTTTTGTCTTGGAAGTGGATACAATTTTTCCAAAATATAAAGTTTATCTATGTATATATTTTTTTTTGTCTTAAAAGCATATTTAACTTATTGTGATTTTTAACGATTTCAATATTTATGATATGCAAATAGCTTTTGACATCAACATTTTCACAAATACAAACACCAAAATCATTTAAATTGGACTTATAGAACTGTGTTCATAGATATTAAGAATTACTTAATAACTGTAATTATGTATTATTAGCTCAATGGCTGTGGTGGGTTATAGTTATATCTTATGTCTGCATTGGCATTGTTCATGCACACTATTCATATTATGATTTTAGTTAATACTGATATGAAATAATGTTAAGATTGTTATTACGAAAAAATTGACAAAATTTTATCGTATTTTATCCATTATATTGTTTATATTGTATATTTAGGTGTAAAAATGTTTGTAACATTTCACAGTAATGTATCTTCTGAAAAATTGAAATGTATTTTATTTATTTCTTTATGTGTTCAATTTTAATTTTATTTTCTCATATCATAATTTTAGATATAAAACATGGATTATGTTTTATTATTCAATTATCATTTTTTTTGTTTTGTAATTTTTTTTTTATTCGTAATTCAACAACTAGATTTTCTATACTGTGTAATACCACCTATGAATTATACTTATGTACATACAATAATAATGATAATATAATTAATTATGAGTTATGCTTTAAATACATATCTTATTATGTATTTTTTCTATATCATAAATATTACATTTTTAAATAAAATACAAATTAAACTTGTTTGAATAATAATAATATAATGTATAAAGGAATAATTATATTACGTATTTTTACATCAATTAATTTTAAAACTAAATATTTCAGGTTATAAATAAGAATACAAATTTATAATGCCCTAAATGCTAGGCAATTTTCTTGGTAAACTACAAAATACGCGAGCGTAAGCGACAGTTCATCAATTATGGAAGACTGATTGAGTGTATTTGTATAATTCATCAGGGAGAAGGGAAGAGATCAAAAACGTATGTGATGAAAATTGTCCTGAACGCCATAGCGCAAGTGCACATTTTTTATTTTTTATTGATATGTATATGAAAATTAACTCTCTATTAATTGTACGCGTACCATCGTTAATACAAAATAACAATGAACTACTTTTCCTCTGAAGCAATTGTTAATAATTTCATTTCCAGTACATGGAAATACACATACACCTTTAGTACTGTGTATTTATTTACACGAATTTTGTTCAATGTTTTTGTAGCAGGTATCACATTTGACATAACAACACCAAATAAATTTGCAATTGCAATGTTCTTCCTCCTTTACAACCTGTAAAAAACCAAACATAAACAAAAACTTAACATTTAAAATCAAAAGCTTTAAATGAGTTTTCCTTAATACATGGTAAGCAAATATTTTTAATTACCCTAGTGATAAAACCACGACCACAACATAGTTTATTACAAGAATCCGGTCCAGTTGATGTAATATTGCATTTGCGGCCTTCTGTTCCTAGAACACCGTTCTCAAAATCTTGTTTACAGTAGTTGGGTGACTTTTGTATATGCACCAATTCTTTTGACTCAATCAACAACCGCCGCTTCAGTCTCTTCAGAGCTCTGGTTTCTCTTTTCTTATGTATTGTTGTATGGTTTTTTTTTGGGGAATCATTTGCAATATGGTTTATCTATCAAAATAAGAAAGTTCAACCTTAATAATAAAAGTAATAATTATCACAGAAAAAATATTAATATTAATAAAAGAATAACTCACAAGAACTGCTTTTCCATACTTCTGTTTGATTTCATTACCTATCTCGTTGAACGATGGCATAAATTTCCAACAAGTTTTTAATTCGCAAGACCCTGACACACCATGGCAACGACAATGCATTTTCATTAATGAAATAACTATCTGGAAGTAGAATAATATGAATAATTTTTTTTATAACTGGATCAACAGTGAAATTATAAAAAAATTTAAAAACGTAATTCATACTTCAGATGAATAAATATTTTTATTTACAATTCATTGTTTTGAAAATAACTACTACCAGATAATGTGTAAAAATGATTATTTAATCAGCTTGATTGGAGGAATATAAACCAGAAAATTAAAAATAAACAATTCATACTAACCTGTCTTCCTATTTCATTGTTGTGCAAGTTCATTTTGAGACGATCAGCCCAAATTCTTTTTTGTTTTGTAGTTTTAAAGTTATCTGGGCGGCGATTAGGTTCAGAGCCATCAACAAATTTTCGTGAAAATTGTAATCCAAAACGTAAATTATCACTGCAGAATACAAATACAAATAATAAATATATTTTTTTCATAAAATTGATTAGTATTTTACCTGCAACCTCCCCACTTCCATCCTTCTGGTGTTGTTTGACCATGTTGCATAGAATCACAACTGCATTCTGTTAGTTTACCTGAACTGCATGCGTGTGTAATTGAATACACAACACCGGCACTAGTAATGGCATATATAAAAGCTGTCTCTTTACTACCTGTAGGAATAATACAAATAATAAACTACTTAATTAAAATGTAAAACATAAATACATAACTGTCATAGTTAGTCCATTTGATTTTGAAATTCATAATTAAATTAAAATTTTTTTATGAAATCATTAGTTGGTTATTTTATTTTAATACAATTTAACTAGTTAAGCCAATAAATTTTGTTTTGTTTAGAAACAATTTTTATAAATTATAAGTTATGTACCTACTAAATTTAAAATTGTATTTTTTTGATCATAATTTTACTTACTGTACAAAAAAAAAAAAAAGTCTTAACTGGGATAATAGAAAAAGTAATGCTGATAATCAATTTTTATCTCATATAGTCGGTCTATATTTTTAAGTGGGAGATTATAGCAAGCTTATTTCCAAAATTTATTATTATAAGGACACTAATTCTCTAACCAGAAAAAATGTAATGTAACACTAGTATCAAATAATATCTATAATTCAATGTTTATAGTTCATTAAGGTAACCTGAATTTACAATAGCACATTTATCTTCTTACACAGATGTATTCTATTTCAATAATATAAATATAAATATGCCTGCTTGATAACAATTTGTGTTAATATATATAATTATTTCATTAATTATATGTTAGTGTAGAAAAGTCCGCTATAACTTCTTTTGTCTTCCTTAGAGGTGGATTAGAATAAAATTAATATTAAGAAATTTCATAGGCAACTTTTAGAAGTCTAATTCCAAAATCAATAAAACATAAAAACATGTTTACCATTTTTCATCCCTTAAGGAAAGAATTTTAGTGAAATCCTTTCTTATTTTACCGCTATATTAAGAGAGATATAAACCACCAAATTTCAAGTTTCTAAGTTCAGTGATTGAGTTGATGAGTGAGTGTATCGGACATCTTATTTTATAAAATATAAGATAATAAAATATCCTTGTTTATAAATAACAGTTATGTACATATTATATCATTAAAATTTGAAGGAGTATTATCAACTAAAAAATAAAAATGGTCTACTTAAATATGCAATAATTTAAACAACTCTGAATAATTTTTCTTTGAATATGTAGTTTTATACTGCTTTATTATAATTATAAATTATTAGTAGTATTTTACAATTTTGAAATAAATTAAAGAGGAGCAATATTAATTTATTCTTTAGTTAAGTTTTCATTAAATATAGAAATCATTATCGTAACCAGAAAAAATAATTATTCATTACAAGAGCTCTAGATTTTATTGACATATTTTTAGAAAAAAAAACTTGTAAATATTTATATTGATTGAACAGACACTAATATAAGTAATTTGTGCAACTTTTATTACAAAGAATAAAATAGGATTGCAATAACTGTAAAATAGGTAATTTGTTTTAAAATATAAAGAAAGTGATATGTAACAAATATTAACTAATTAGATTAATGTCACGAGATATTAATGATATTAAATACCTAATTGTATTGAGAAATTGGAAAACAAATTCTAGAAGAATATAAATTCATTTTATGATAATATTATTATAGATTTATTATTTTATTAACATACATTTTAATATTTTTAAAATTATCAAATTTTAGTTTTTATTTTGTTAGATAGTTTTAGTAATTTAATATTAATAAGTATATAATTAAGTCTCTATCTTATTATTCTAATAGTAATTATAAATGTAAAATAAAACCAATATATAGCCAATTTTTTATATGACAAAAAATATTTAATAAAATCTAAATCTAATAGTAATTATTTGTATAAAAAACATAGATGCATACTTTTATTATTTTTTAAATTGCTTTTTATTTATTTATTTTGAGATTTAGATATAATATAAAAAGATAAATAAATAAATAAATAAATAGATAAAAAAAATATTTTTGAAATATATAATTCTACGTCAGAAATTAAATAATTTCTTCTAAATAATGTAGTAATTTAAACTTATATTTCATTGCCAATGAATAATAACAGCACAGTAAATAAGTTAAAACTAAATTATATAATTATTTATATTATACATTTATGATATTTATGACTTGTTTCGTAAATAAATATTTATTTTTTCCAGTAATATAGGTAAATATTGTTTATAATAATTATCATAATTATTATGAAAAAGGTATATATTTTTATATTAAGTGTAAAAATGTTTCTCTTATACTTTTTGAACTCTGAATTAAATGAGACTATTAATTTTACCATAATTTACATTTTTTTTAAGATATAACTAATCAGATAATTGTATGAAGAATAAAACGAAATAAACTAATCCAAAAAAATGTACACGATGCTTTATGAATTTGAATATGAATTAAAAAAGGAATATCATGAATAAATTGTTAAAAATATAACTAAATATAAATCTTTATATTATAAAAAATATCAAATTCAAATATCACACTCCTGCTGATTGGTACATCTGATAAATAGTAAATTGTAAAAACTTTTAATTAAACATTTTGGTTCTTTTAATAATCTAGCTATGCAATAAAATGGAAGTTATTTGAAAATCGCATTTTTAAGAGTTGAAACCGTATTGGACGGAATGGATACATTTTTTCACTTTTTGATTACCTAGGTATAACCTGATACCTAGAATATATTTTATTTTGTTTAATAAGTTGATTACAATAATGTAAATATATAAATTATAAATTAATATAAATAGTATAAGTTAATAAAAAATAAATATTATTATAATATACAACAATTCTGAGCTTTTTCAATTAAAGATTGTATGTAGTATTTTTGACAGTAATTGCTCTAATCTAAAATATTAAAATATCTTCTTGATGAATATGAGTAATTCAGCTAGTATATTTTGAATAGAATTATTTAATAGTTTTAATTAATTATTTGTACTACGTATACGAATATAAATTTATTATTTTAAAACAAGATAATTATAAGTAACAACAAGTTTGATTCTAAATTAAAATTAAAATCAACTATTTAACAAAATTCAAACCTCTGTCCAATGTAGGGCCAAACACGCTTTGTTCATTTTCCATTACTGAACAATTCCATCGTTCATGACGAAACTGAAATTGACACTGTTCAATAGCCTTTTTAGCTCCATCTGATACAGAATATATGGCATTTGGATGTTTCAGACATACATCAACTTGTTTTGATGCTAAACCAGGTAATGCACTACAAATAGCTCTGGCTTGAACTATTTCTGGATCCTCAATTTCTGCACCTGGGGATGCTTGTTGTTGTTGAAGAGGTGGTGGTATCCCTATTATTCCTAAATACCTATAATTAAAAATTGATGAAACATTAATATAGTTAAGTTCCTATAAAAAAAAATAAATAATACAAAATACTACTAACTATGAATAAATTCAATGGGTTAATTAAATTATATGTACCAAAGTCGACACCGATTCTCAGGTTTTTATATACAAACACATTATGCATACTACAAGCCATTACCTGAAAAATAAATAAACTTTAAAAGAACAAACTACAAACTACGAATAAAAATCATTTAATAAGCATCTATAAATTACTATCGAAAGGAAACCTAGTTCACTGTATCAAAATACTAAGATTGTTGATATACGTCTTAACAATAAGATGTAGGTACTAAAACAATTTTAATTAGAAATAGAATTCAATTAAAATACTCAACTTGTTTCTAAACACTGAAAGCAAATTACGGTAGTAGAACATAATAAACAATCGAAAAAAAATGCAAGTAATGACACAACAAAACAAATCAACAATAAATTGTTAAAAATAACAACACATGTAATATAAAATGCAATAGACAAAAAAATTATGGCAAACACAGCAATTTGACCACTACAGTAGTCGCCACTTGCCGGCTAATGACTATCTAATGAAATGACTTACATCCAATTTGGACTAGCAGATAACACGAACGGCAAGAGTAACACAATCAATCGAAAGATACCCGTCGAACGTCTCATACTGGCCAACGTTTGTATATACGCGGTATGTTTTCTTTACGTTATTTAAAAGAATTGATGCAACGTTTATGAGTAGTGAAATTCGTACAGATTAACCGGACAACACTGCCATCTTAGTGGAACCTACACAACACGAACAGGTCCGTAGAGAGATGAAACAACTCGCAACCGAGGCCTGAGCTGATGTCTGAGAACGCACAATCCAGTTACCAAGGGACCACGGCCGGACAACCGTCGTTTTTTTTTACTACGGTACCGGACGGTCACAACGCGCACTTACTGCGTTCGTGATGGCAACCATCAGCATTGTCGATGTTCGGTGAAGTTCGGCCGAGGAGGAGACCGAGCGGCGACGCGGAACTCGGCACGTTCGTGGAGAGTGTTGACCGGAAATAATAGTCGATGACGGTGCGAACGGGTCTGAGAGATCCGCGGCGACGAGAACGCGTGATGCTGCAGGGCTGATAGTACGACGGAGCGAGACAGTGACGGACACGGAGTGCGAGAGGGACTGATCTCGCTTATTATTGTGCTGTTAACGTACTCGGGGACCGTGATAATTGATTGGAAACGCACACGTTTTCGGGGGCCGACGAAACGTTCCACAATGACAATCGCGCCACACCGTTTTTATCGCGTCCGTTCGAGAACATCGTATTATTATTATTATTATTATTATTATTATCATTATTAAACTTTACCGCTTTGTGTCGCCTCCATTCGTGCGCCATACCCTTCACCGCTAAACTATCTTTTCGCCATCTGCCACCGTTGTCGTTCCATTGTCGTTAGCGGCGTCGATTTGATGTGTTTTTAATTTCGATCGCAGCGGCTGCTGCGTCGTCAATTCGTCATTATCGGCCGCATATGTCACGGCAAATGTGTGTGGTGTTCGGTATTGGCCACCCGGTTACAGCGACGAATGGTCTCGGTAATACGTGACTTGCGAACAAAAAAATGTTTTAGGATTTGGAAAAATAAAAAATTGTAAATCACATCTGAAAACCAATATTTTACCCAATTCTTTTAGTAATCTGCCTATAAGTGTTTAATCGATTGATTTTGATTATTAAATAAAATATGTTTTACTTGTACAGCTGATTGTTCGGTGATTAACTTGTACATTATCCTAATCGGACAATGTTACGAAAAAATCAGATTATTTTTATATGTACCGATTGTCAAATATTTAAATAATTCCTTCTTTATTTGATTTTTAATTATTGAAATTTTCATAGCGAAACAGCCTTATACATTATCGAAATGTTCATTGTCACGATTTGATCTCAATCGTATAATTATTTTACTTCTAAAATGTGATATTTTTATTTTATCGTTGCATTATTCTCACTAAATCCATTCGTCAAGATATCCATTCCGTCAACTGTAAATAGGTACTTTCGTCGAAACAGTGGCGTGCTCACGGGGGGGGGGGGGGGGCAGGCTGTCGTATCCACCTCTTTGGATTTTTTTGTCATGATTTATTATTTACATGAAAAAAAAAAATTAGGTTTAAAATTCTAGATTTTGGTCGTAGATTGGATCACGCTCCTGTATTCTTATCAATTCGATATTCACGTGCGTCATGTTTACTGTCTCGAAAATATGCCGCCAATATGTTTGGTCTAAAAATAAACCTATTATTTAAATTTTTTCCGGAATGTTGAGACAGAACTAATTTTATTACTATTAGTTTTTATAACATATTTTATCGACTATCGTGTAATAAATATTATACTAAATAAAATATTCTACGGTCCAATATGCATGCAACCTACGTCATAAATGTAAAATGCAAATAATTTTAACTAACCTTTTTTTTATTCCACTTCTCAGTGTCGTCAATAAATGTATTGTTCCAGTCAATATTATTATGAAATGTTTTTTTCATATTCATTAAAAAGTTATCAATAATAATTTTTGGATTTTGACACGATCTTCACCACTCTTCTTGGAGTTGTCTATCTAGTAAAGGAGATGCCTTATTATTTTTAATATTATATTTAAATTTTGTAATTCTCCATGAGCTTTCAATTTGTTAAGTGAGTGCTTTTGTGTCCGAGTCAATAAAAATTCTAAATGGTTAACTGTTTAATGAATATATCCATGATGATTTAATGTTGAATACGCTCTCCATTGGTCACTATAAATTATCGTTCCAGATTTTATTTCATTTTTAATAATTTGTAAAAGAGTTTCTCGGTTCCAAAATACATAAATAATATTCCCATAAATAGAATAAAATGCCCATAACGAAATTAACCGGGGTAACAAAACATGTAGATCAACACAATTTTATCGGTAGGTCGAGTTGTTACTCTTACAACTTACGAGTTTTTTGTAGGTCGCATATTGGACCGTTACCTAAAAATGTATAAAAAATCTTGTGAGTTATAAATATTGAAATATTAATTTTTTTGTAGGGAAAAATGTTGGTGATTATGTAATACTGAAACTAATTTAACTTGGAATTAAAAATTGTATGCAATGTCACGAATAAAATCCTCAATATTTGTATTATTGTTATATTTGGTACATATTTTTTTTAATTTTAGTTGTCCTATTTTGGTAAATTTTTTTTAGGATTTTTTTTACTTCCTACATACTGTTCTACTCTGAATCTGTCTATACTCTCTTCTTTTTTTAATGCAACCATAAACCGCTAAATTAAAGGATGCATACCATTTATATGTGATTAACAATTGCGCCACCCTTCTATAGTTTTATTTATGGTGGCTAAATCTCGGAGTACTCGCGAAAAAAAGTTTCATATTTTAATTACATACCTTGGTGGTTTTTTTTCATCTCCTATCTAATTTTTTATATAAATACAATATTAATTACCTGCATAACTGCGTTTCTTAAAACCAAATGTGCGTTGAGATTATTTTGTGATGTATTTTTCTTTAAAAATGAAATAACTTTTCGATTCGATTTTAGCAGTATTTGAAACGTGGTCGTTGTGTTCAATAAATCTTATGATTTTGTCATCTACTACGTATACCCCATCTTTATAAAAATTTTTTTTTTGTATTTTGAACATTTCCAATATATTTTTTTTTCTCGTTTTTTTTACGTGTAAAAAACCTTCATAATTCAGCATATTTTTATTTTTTTTTTTCTGTAAATATTATTTTGGAGATATATAAAAAAAATCTTAAAATGATTATAATGAAATATGATAATATTTTGTCATATGTATATAATATATATGTATATCATGTGTCCACGTACAAACGGAACAGATGGGAAACGCGGTGGTATTGTTCACGCGTCGGCGTCCTCGTCCTCGTCCCCTTCGCCTTCCTCCACGACAGTCGCGTCCTGGTACTGCTGGTACTCGGACACCAGGTCGTTCATGTTGGCCTCAGCCTCGGTGAACTCCGTCTCATCTATACCCTCGCTAGTGTACCAGTGCAAGAACACCTTGCGCCGGAACATGGACGTGAACTGCTCGGCCACGCGCTTGAACATATCCTGGATAGCCGTGATGTGCCGATGAACGTAGCCGACATCTTGAGGCCACGCGGTGGTATGTCGCACACGGCCGTCTTAGTGTTGTTCGGTATCTACTTGATGAAGTAGCTGGAGTTCTTGGTCTGCACGTTGAGCATCTGCTCGTCCACCTCCTTCATGGACATGCGGCCGCGGAATATGCTGGCCACGGTTAAGTACCGGCCGTGGCGCGGGTCGCACGCGGCCATCATGTTCTTCGCGTCGAACATCTGCTGCACCAACTCCGGCACGGTGAGCGCGCGGTACTGCTGGCTGCCGCGGGACGTGAGTGGCGCGAACTCGATGATGAAGAACTGTAGCCGCGGGAACAACACCATGATCACGGCCAGTTTCTGCAGATCCGTGTTCAGTTGCCCGAAGAACCTGAAGCACACAAGCACACGGTCACGCCGCACATGGCCGCGGATACCAAGTGGTTCAAGTCGCCGTACGTGGGCGAGGTCAGCTTCAGCGCCCGGAAGCATACCTATATCGTACAACGCCTCGTTGTCGATGCAGAACGTCTCGTCAGTATTCTCTACCAGCTGGTGCACGGACAACGTAGAGTTGTACGGTTCTACCACGGTGTCGGACACCTGTAAGACGAAAATACTGTTAGCAAAAAAATACTATCGAAAAACCGTTCACTACGTGTATCCTTTTCCGACGATCTTTCCAACGTCGTTACGCACATCGATCAATTATTTATTAACGCGATTATGCGTATATTACATTATAACGTCCAAATGAGCATGGTCAACAGAAAATCATGTGAACCCCCTCCCCCTGCATTAGTAGGACCCGCCTTTATATACCTTGAGTGAAGGGACTATGCTGTACGTGGTCATGATGCGGTCCGGGTATTCTTCACGTATTTTCGATATCAAAAGCGTGTCCATACCGGAACCGGTCCCTCCGCCCAGCGAATGGGTTAGTTGGAATCCTTGGAGACAATTGCAATTTTCCGTTTCTTTCCTGAAACCCAATACACTTGATACAGTATGTAAATGATAATCCAAGTAATATTTTTGTTTACAAGTGATTTATTGTGTCGAGACGGTCGGTGGTTAATTTTAAACAATTTACCTGACTACATCTAACACGGAATCCACCAATTCGGCATCCTCGGTGTAATCCTTTTGCCCAATTGTTGCCCGCTCCGGATTACCCGAAAATAAAGTTGTCCAGCCGAAATATTTGACCGAATGGACCGGATCTCAAAGAATCCAAGTCCACGAGGATCGCCTTGGTACATACTTGACACCCAATATTATATTTTATAACGTTATGAATAGTAAAGTTATAACGAAACGTTAATTTTCCTCCCCAATCAATTTATTATTAATTATTTTTTTTTGTTTTCCGTTTTACCAAGTGCCTCGGAATAGTATATATTAATTCGTTCCAGTTGAAGATCTGAGTTTCCATAGTATGAACCGGTTGGGTCATACCATGTTCATCAGAGATCACCTCTCAAAACTAAACACAATAGGGGGTTTCATTAGTAATTAATGTTGTTACTTTGTAATAGAATAGACGCTTTTCAAGACGTTTCAAGATTATTCCATTCAGATATTTTATCTAATGATTCAATAATTAAAACCAAATTCGAAAAAAACTGCATAATGGAATCATGTTTTTCGATTCACCTAGTTTCACATAAAGACTTTAAAGAATTATTTAAAATATTTTTTAAAACTAATTTTTTTTTTTTTGCTGAAGTATTGAAAAAACTTACTACTTCTTTAATAATTCCAAATGCATTTCTAACAAATGTTTGTTTACAACCTTTCATTATTGATACATTTAGAGCATGGCTAAAACATGAACATTTTATAGCAAATTTCATTTGAGATTGTAATAATTTAATTGCGCTTTTTGCATTTTTCAGATTCCATCACAGAATACCCATTTGTAGTTATTCCTACACAATTATTCATAGGTAAAGCTAAATTTTCTAAAATATATATGACAGTATTTCCTTTTATTTCTCCAGTCATTTTTGGTTCAGTATTTACACTAGATTGATCGCAGTTATTTTTATGACAGTCTATAAATCTAATAAAGTCTTCATTTATAGTTGTGTCGTACACGTATCGTAAAACTTTAACCAGTTGTGAAGTTTTGGATATATCAGTTTTTTCATCGAAAATTACGCTA